GGGAGGGGTGAGGAGAGAGGTTGCCAGTGAAGACTGAGGCAAAAAAGTTGTTGAGTACCTCAGCCTTCTCCTCATCTGCTGTTACCAGCCTGCCGGTCTCGCTTATCAGCGGGGGTACACTCTCTTTAACCTTCCTTTTCCGGCTGATATACCTGTAGAATCCCTTTTTATTATTCTTTGCATCCCTAGCCAAGTTAAGCTCCAGCTGCGCCTTCGCCTCCCTGACCCCATTCCTACACAACCGGACCACTTCCCTATACTCTTCCCAGGATGCCTGTCCCTGCTTCCACTGCCTGTGCAGTTCCCTCTTCCTCCTTAGCTTGACCAGCATCTCCTGTCTCAACCACGCTGGTCTCTTCCCTTCTTTGCTTGATTTCTTACACCTAGGGATCGATAGCTCCTGCGCTCTGTGGACCACTTCCTTAAAGATCTGCCAGCTCTGTTCTGCTCCCCTGTCCCTGAGGGCCGTTTCCCAGGGAGTCCTACTGACTATCTCCTTGAGGAGCTGGAAGTTGGCTTTTCTAAAATTCAGGGTCCTGACTATACTCTTTGTCCTTCCCATTTCCCTCAGGAGCGTGAGCTCTACCAGCACATGATCACTGCAGCCCAGGCTGCCTCCAATCTTGACATCTCCGACGAGCTCGCTTGCATTGGTGACCACCAGGTCCGGTATCGCATCCCCTCGGGTAGGGGTGTCTATTACCTGGCTTAAGAAGTTGTCCTCAATGCATTCGAGAAATCTGCTGGATTATGTTATATTATTATGTTAGACACTAGGAAAAATTTCTTCACAGAAAGGGTTGTCAGGCTCTGGAATGGGCTGCCCAGGGAAGTGGTGGAGTCCCCACCCCTGCAGGGATTTAAAAGACAGGCAGACGAGGTGCTTAGGGACATGGTTTAGTGGTGGGATGGCAGGGCTAGGTTAACGGTTGGACTTGATGATCTTAAAGGTCTTTTCCAACCTAAACGCTTCTATGATTTATTTAATACAGAGATGGAAGCAAGATGATAGAGTTCAATAATGGCCAGAGAGAACTACACACATCACAGTTCAAGAGACGGGAGTATCCAGATGGCACCGTCAAGACCGTGTACGTGAATGGACAGCAGGAAACAAAGTATGTCTCTGGGAGAGTAAGAGTGAAGGACAAGGATGGTAATGTCATCATGGACACTAAGCTGTAGGTAATGTCAAAACTGCTGCAAGTGTTAGCACATCAGCAAAAGTAATGTACAATCCCGTAAACAAGCAGAGAAACCCCTTGAAGCTTTTTGTGTATATATTGTTTATAGTTTTCCTGAAATAAATTTATTTTTCAGTGGGTGTTACCACATCAGAGCATTTTCTGATATTTTTTTTTTCCCCATTTCTACTTTTAACAAGCTGTTTATTGATTCACTATTCTGTCATGTGTGGTTTAAAGGGTGTTTTTTGAATCATCTGTCAGTGAAAATTCATCAAACAGCTGTAGATAACCTTATTTTAGACATCTAAGAGACGATTCCTCAATCCAAGACAAAAGGCTGTGCTGTGGGAACCCCTGCTGTGGTGAAATACAGCAGGTGGCCAGATTTAAGAGTCTGGGTATCAGTTTACTTATTGACTTACATGAGTAAATGAATGGAGCATTCCCTTTTCATTAGCCTTAGGCTTTTTCCTTCCTAATATTTTTTTTTTTTTTTTAATCTCACAGTTAGGGGGCAATGGCATTAGCAGATCCCAACTTCTGTCCTGTAAACTGCTCTTCTATGTTTGTAAGGCTAGGAGAGATGAGACTACGGGACGGGTTAATTCTCTGAGCCACTCAGAAATGTGGGAGGCAACACCAGAAATCAACAACGGTCATCTCATCCCATTCTTTTACCTAGCAGGCATTTTTAAGCTGGCTTGTCTCTTAAAATTCCACAGTACCTACAAGCAAAGTGCACTGCTGGAGTGTCTGCTTGAACCTTCCATTGTAGTGGATGCTGAAAAATTTGTTTCTACTGGGCCAGAGAAGGAAGACATGCACCTTCTTCCCCTTGTTCCCTTCCTGCCCCAGTGAAAGCAAGCGCTGTAGTTACTGTGCCTGTGCCCTTTTTTAGTCAAGGGGTGGAAGCTATCCTCACTCACACCCACAGCTGCCTGGCTGGGTGGATAGGTGTGTCCTGGCTTTTCTGGCAGTCTTAAACAGCAGCTCTTGTGTAATTCAGAGCTAAATCCCTTTCAAAATGGTAGATAAACAACTTTTTTTTTAATGAAATTAAGAAATAAGTTTTGAAGATAAGCACATGACAGCTCATTAGGGGGTATGTGGCACAGCATCTAGCATGTCTGATTAGTACCAGAATATATACTAAAACTGTGAAAGAATCTACTAGATAAGTCTATACTACACTAGTACAATAGAGAGATGTCCAAAGAAACCTTACATACTCTAGCAGTAAAGGAAAACAAGCTTTCAGATACATGCTGAGCAAGCTCCTCTTTATTCCAACACTTCTGAATCAACAATGCAGCTCTAGGAGTAGGAAGGAGGTGCAAGGACACCCAAAACCACATCCATCTCCTCATGACTGAAAACAGAAAACACAGCAGCAATGCAAACATGTTCCAGAACAGAGACAGTAACGCTCCCCCACCCCCAACTGTTCAATCCTGATCCCAGACTCTGGTACAGGAGAAGTCTGTCACCCAGTGTGCCTGACCATAAACAAGAGTTGCATCACGGTAATAAAATTATCATCTTCCCTCCAAGTCTTCTACTGAGATACTAGAATGAGTGTGCCCACCATCAGCTTTTTATCTGTTTCTTTGCTACTGTACATTAACTCCATCTACACTTATGAGAAGGCTATCACAGAATACTACTTAAGGCTCTAAGGACAAGAGGTTGAAATGTGGATATGTTGTTTCACTGTTTCAAGATTCAAAAGTCTTGGGAACGTTACCTATAAACACAGATTAGAAGACTGCTTATTAAATGGGAGGGAAAAGGACTACTTAACATAGAATTGGCCAAGAAATTTGAAAATCCAAGTCTCCAGTATTCTCTGTAGACAATGCATACTTCACAGCTTTTCCTTTAAAACATTGCATGTTTGACTAGAGGTATGGATATCCGTATGTTATCGTGGGTCTGCCTGAGAACCACTGGCACAGGACATTGAGATCACATGCTGAAAATGAAGAAAAACAATTCTGATTGTTAGGCAGAGCACACTAGCACACATCTGCACGTTACCTTCTTCAGCTGCTAGCAGCAAAAGCTCTTTCTGTTACATTGCCTTAGGGCTCCTTGTTTCAGTACCTCTTAGTTCTTAAAGCTGGACTGGGCTTCAGTAACGTGTACACAAGGAAATTTATTTTTTTTAACAGCACTTCATTTTATTAAGAGAGTAGAAGTCTGGGCAGAAGAGTGGGGGTTTTTTTAATAAACTCTAGTTGTCAACATTACTGACAGTTAAGACTTTGCTTAAAACTTTTGAAATCATACCTTCCTAATGATATGAGTTTGTAGTTCATATTCACTGTACTTACATGTCACTCATCCAAATCTGCAAGTCCCATTTCTATCAGTTTCATGTGAACTAGTCTTTGGTCATCTTCATACAAAGAAATGGTGACCTCTGGGGAAAGAGCCTGAAAACCAGAAGTTGACAGAGTTCTGACAGTAACAGATTTAAATCTCAACCTAACCAACAGTAAAAGGTATTTTACTGGCTGTACTCACTGCCTAAAGAGAACTGTGACTATACAAAGAGTATTTCTGTTTTTAAGTAAAGGAAACTTGTTTTAAAACAACGTGAGTGCTCAGAAATTTTTTGTTTGCAGGATTAAGAGGAGCGCGGCATGATTTTCTCTCTTCATCAGCATTCTTTTATGGTAAATGGTTCACAATTTTAAATTATGAGGGTCCACAGTAAAATGAGTATTTAGCAACCATACACAAGAGTGCTAGTAAGCATCTTAGTGAGCAAGAACTAGGAGACGAGAAAAAAAAAAAGTTTCTCACAAGTATGGAAGCAGAGAGCTGTTTTCCTTCAACGCACTCCATCATAGCCCACAACGCTTCCACGCTCCATTCTGGGGAATAAGGAATTCTTTTCACATTTTTGTCATATGGAACAGGTTTGAATCCAGCCAACAGAGCTCGTACTGCCTGAACAGGGTACTTCAGCAGATGATAAGGTATGTGACGCAATCTAAAACAAAAATGAAAAATGTTTTTCTGCAACAATCCACCTAAATCCACTGTCAAGCTGAACTGTCAGTACGGACAAAAGGATAGCTTAGTGGTTCATGTAGCAGATTTACGGTGTGAAAACTGGGATCAGAGTCCCTGCTCTACAACAACATGCCGGTGGCACACCAAACAGTTCATCAGGTAGTCCCTCTAAGGGACTTCAGCACAGTAAGCACCAAGCTGCAGGCCAGCATCTGGCAGACCCCTCAGCCCCCCAGGCACCCTGGCTCCCCACTGCAGTGCGTGGGGAGGAATCTCACATGCCTAACGGAGATGTGAGTGCAGGAACGCAAGGGCAAGTCATCACAATGCACACTTTGACTTTGGTGCGTCTGGAAAATGACAGAGACCTTTGCGGTCCCAAGTGCTTCAAGCCCGGCTGTGCTCTAGACACACTACTGGAAATAGGTACCTTAATTTTACATTATCACCTCCCCATTCTTCTGTCTTTCTAGTCCAGAAGGAAGGGAATGGGGAAGCAGAGCAGGAAGTGCAACCCTGGAATGTAACACACACTCTCTCCCGTGACGCTAACAGTCCGTGAAGCGGGAAATCTGTTCAAATCCCCATTCTGCCTTGTCTTCAGCAAGGACCTGTAGATCCCCCAATGAGCTCAAGAGCATTAATCAATGCTCATAATTAATCAATGATGTCATTAAGCAGTGAAAATATAAAGTCAAAGTGCTTCAAGAGAGAAAATTCAGACAAGCTTAGGGGACCCTAAAAGCCTGGGGTGTTTGAGACACTCAGCCAAGCGGCTCAGCACCAGGCAGATCAGGGATTTGAACATCCAACTTCCAGATGAGCAGCATGAGGTGTGTCCCACTCAGATACTCCCTTATCTTACTCCCCAGCTGTCTTCTACGCAGACTGCAGTTGCATAGGATCAGAGGATTTGTTTGTACACCTGGAGGGCTCAGTCCCTATCTTGTGTAAGCTTCTTGGGTGCAAAAGCAGATTAGAAGCCTGAGCCTGCTTCACAGGTTAAGTTACCTGGAGATGATGGAGAAATCCAGCATAACAATAACAGGCTTCTCAGAACAACCTGAGAGAGAGAAGCAGGTGCACAACCCCATACCCTGCAGACAGAAACTATTTAACCAGCCAAACAACTTTCTCTACAACTGAAATCTAATGCTGAATCATTGTAAATATCTATAGTTATATAAAAACAATACAAAATGTAAAAATACATATATTTGTAAGTACATATATTGTAAGTGCACACCTACATACACACACAGGCAATTTACATGCATTTTTTCTTATGTATTTACCTGCTTGTTGGGACAACTAGAAAACTACCATAGTCAACAAATTGTACCAGCATCTTAGTGGGGTCAGATTCTTCAATGGAGAGGAGCTTTGCTCTATACCACAAACCATCCTGGTATTCTACAAGGCAAGGCATTTCTATAAAAAGAAAAAAGACATCAGAAAACACCTCAAAATATACTCACAGTGCAGTACAAACTAAATGAACTTGAAAATCTGTTTTGTGACAGAGATTAAGATTTTTTTCTTCCTCCTCTAACTCATGCTACCATTTTGTTCTATGAATCCTCAACTTCTCTCTAAACGCCAACTCACAATCATTAGTATGCAATTTAAGTCAAGTTTCTCTACCTCACATGGCAATGATGAGAATTAACAGAAAATTGCTTGCTAAAGATAGTGATCCGAACTGTTTAACGTTTAAACTTTTCAAATTTGACTCATCTGCACATCTCAGTTGGATGGATGTTTGATGGATCTGTAAGAGAACAGACCATAGTCTGGAGGACACAAGACAGATGCTGCCTAAAATCTCAACCAGAATTTTATTGGGTGGCAGATCCAAATACTAGCAATAAAAGATTTCTTCACAAAGTTCTAGACCATGTACTTTGTTATTTTAGGCCCAACAGCTGTGGACAAGAGAATTAAAGCCCATCTTTTGCCTAAATGGAGAAATGCAGAATTAAAGTGAAGTGATGCTCTTCAGGGTTCACGTAATTTCTAACTCCTGGTAACATGATTTTCTGTACATAACTTTTGTCTTTTGAATACTTAATAGCATGATTTTCACAGTTACAGCTTCAGTAACAGTCACCTTAAGGGAAAAGTTTTATTTTTGCCATGTGCAATCTAAACTCAGTTCATCAACTCTAACAGGCATCAGAATTCTGTGTTCTTTCCATCATTTTCCAGTGGAGTCTGACACAGAAGCCTCACCTTCACAAAAAGTAAAAACATACGATTATAAAGTAAGAATCATTTAGGTTGGAAAAGACCTATTAGATCATTGAGTCCAACCATTAACCCAGCACTGCCAAGTCCACCACTTAACCATGTCCCTAAGCACCACGTCTGCCCATCTTTTAAATACCTCCAGGGATGGGGACTCAACCACCTCCCTAGGAAGCCTGTTCCAATGCTTGATAACCCTTTCGGTGAAGAATTTTTTCCTAATGTGCAGTCTAAACCTCCCCTGGTGCAACTTGAGGCCATTTCCTCTTGTCCTATTGCTTGTTACCTCCTTTCAGGTAGCTGTAGAGAGCGATAAGTTCTCCCCTCAGCCTCCTTTTTTTATGCTCCTGATTACAGTGTATCATATGATTACAGTGCTGCAGTACTCCTTACTCTCTCTTTTATTTAGAGATACACAGAAATATAATTATTTCTACTGCTCAGAAACAATTTCAGGGTTTTTATACATCCACATGAAGCAACAGGGAAAATAAACACACTAATATACCTGTTTGGAAGTGTGTCAGAAGAGGGAAAGATTCTACACTTTTATTGCACCATTTCAGGGCTTCATCAAGGCTCTCCAATTCCGAGTCACAGCTGACACCTCCCTCTGTGGCAGACTGCTTCGTAAGGTTCTTAGAATGATCAAGGCAAATATATACCTACTCAAAGAAAAGGCTCTCGCATTACAATTTTTGCAGATGACTTAGAATCTTCAAATTCCATCAGTGATCAAGGATTATTAGAAGATTACTTGATCCCTTCTTCAAAAGGTTCAGCACATCCTTGCTCCCCTTTCTTCCTTCCTCCATTTATGATTAATTTCATTTTTACACAATTTTTTTTCCAAAAGCAGAAGAGAGTCATGATTTATTAACACCACATTTCAATGTTAAAAAGCAAGAATGAAAGGAATGCACATAGAAGAGAATATACCCATATAGATTTCACATCTGTGTCTTATTAGGATTCCTCCCTCCTGCTACTCAGTAAATAATCTCACTTCATAATAATCAAACCAAAGACTAATTTTAAAGTTAATGAAAGAAGAACTTCTGAAATGGTGTTCTGTTTGCTATGCAAAGACATCCCATTCACCTAATTTACAACTGGATCATTAGTATAATGCTGTAGGTCAAGGAAAGGAAAGTTTAAACAATATGCACAGGCAAATTACAATCTATATAACAGCTTCTAACTTAAATGCCTTTTTTTTTTTTAAAACAAGAGCCATTTCAGAACATTACAATACTTTACTGACAGTCCTAACAAATTAATGAGTAGGTTATTTTTTCTAAACTCAGCATTATAATTCACTAGACAGGAAGAAAATTGATTTTCATTTTCTAATTTGTACACAACATAATCAAGCTGCAACTCCATCATGCAACTGCTACTTAAATCTATAGGAGTCCAGAGCAGACTATAGTGCTTACAATTATATACCACATTCAAAAGAGTTAAAATCATTTGCATAAAATGAACCAAAAAAGATTCATTATGTTTCTCTTGTAAGAGAGGAAGCAGAACACACATTTTAAGAAAAGCCCTTTTCTAAGATACCCAAACACTTCCATCTTGTATTTAGTCAAAACGGTTGTATATGTACACTATACTTTTTATTTTTTTTGAAGATATGTGTACTCAAGTAAATTAGTGGGGTGCATTTATATTAGACCATGAGGCTGAATTTAAAGCAATCACTTTAAAATAAGTAAAACCTGTTATTTGGTTTACAGATTTACCAAAACCACAAACACAAGTGCTTCAGTATAAATCAATCCACTTAGAAGACGTTAGATTTTGTAATGCTATCAGCTTCTCATTGCTTCCTGTTCTCCCATTTCATCATTCAACATTCAAAGTCCACACAGGAATCTTTTATTTGATCAATGAACATTACATTACGCCTTTTGCCTGGGAGACTAATAAGGGGAAGCTGTGTGGGTTTACACAAAAATCAATGATCAATCATTGACCAAAGGCAGTAAAATACAACTGTAAGAACATTCCAGTAATTTAATTTCTGGAGAATAAAGAAGAGATAAATCATTATTGTTCTGCCATGTTAAAATCCAGTGACCTGTTTTCTTATTATAGAAGGTTAAGTACCAGACTGCAGTGCTGTAATTCTTAAAATTTTTATTTTTTTTTAGGGAAATGGTCAGTATTTATTTCTCTGCCCCCACCCAAGAGGGTATTTCATGTAGGAGTTCATTCAGACAGTTGCACTACACAACCATCTGTATCAATGACTCAGTAGCATTCTGCAAACTCACTAATACTTTTTTCTGTTATTGAAAATTGTTAGCCATTGATTTCCTTTTCACCAGAATGATGCGACTGCAACATTTCCTGTCTGAAACATGTATGAGAAGTTTACAAAACACACCTCCTTAGGGGACACCAAATGGGTAACCCTGACAGGAAAGGTATCTCCTGGAATAGGTAGCGATGGCAACATGTACGAAGGCAAAACAGGAATGTCTCCTTCAAGTAGCTCCTAGACCAAGACAGACTTTAGTTAAGCATCATATTTAGTAATAAAACACAAAGTAGCTTTGGTATGATTTCTGGTTCAAAGGAGTCATCTAATACTGTAAACAGCATGTCCTTGATGAAAAAAATTAATCAACATTTCCTTTCAATACTTCTTAGATTTTCAAAAAAGCTTTACCTAAAAGAGAACAGAACAGAACTAGTTAATTAACACTTTTAAAATACAAAGAATGGATCTCTGAAATGGTCGTAACACACCAACTAACTTGCTAACTTGATTGCCTTTGATTAAAAATGCATTAAATATGGAATTTCTTAGAAAGAAAAACTAAAATAATAGCAATTAATTGGCACAGATTAACCTGAAAGTCATGCCCAATGTTACTGCAGTTTGCTGGAGCATGTTATCCCTTAAGAGAAAGGCAAAGGATAACTCCTTAGCCATGAGAATTATCACTCCTTCAAAAAGATAACAGATTTTGCAAAGTACAGATCCGTATTGTCTCAGTAGCATAGCATGCTCCAGTGTGTCTTCTTCTAGAACCACATATTTTACAGTTTGAGTTCTACAGGCCATTAACTCATTTGGTTCATGACAAAATAAATCTTGGAGCATTAAATCATGCCATTGTAAGGATGCACAGCACATAGCTCCGCTGGATCATAGCTCATGAGTACAGCTCCTATGCAACGAGACTGATTTCCAATTAGGTTTTCCATGGTTACTCAGTTCTGACACACTCTGAGAGATTTTTCTAACTGCATCACAAGCCCACTGGCATACATGCCAAGACTTACATTAGCAGTGACAGCAGGGTACTCTGTATTGCAAAATTGCTTTCTGAAGCAGAGACATTGGCAGGCTTAAACAGAATTAAGAGAAAAACGCAACAACAAACCTCAGTAGTTTAAATAAACCTGATCCTCAGATTTCAAGAAAAAAAGTACAGAGAAAGTACTTATCTAACTTTTTTGTGTTAAGACAATGAAGTTCAATGAAAATTTCGATCCTCCTCTAAAGAAATTCAGATTAATATCCCAGATACTTGGAATGAAGAACCTAGGTAACTGGCTTGGAAATCACTTAGGTTTATGTTTAAATACTTGACTAAATTTACTTTTGAATACCTCCAACCTTGGAATATATTTTGATGATTAACTAAGCCCGTCAAGTGATAAAAATACTACCCTATTCCTATCCTTTTAAGTTTTAGAGGAACACAAAAACTAATTGGACTTTAAACAGAAATGCAAAAACCTCTTTTCATCAAGGAGTCAAAGAACAAACTCTTGGCAATTCACTATTCCATACAATCTTATCAACACATCATATCTACACTTGTTATGCAACGGAGCTGGGTACTTAGTCTTACTACTGTTTACATCACAAAACTCTATAGAAATATAAAAAGAAATAACAAATCATCAAAGGTCACAACAAGCCACTGAATTATCTTTTTAATGTCAAAATAATAATAGCAGAAGACACACAAAATCTCACCAGCTCTGGTATGTCCTGAGAATCTTCAGCAACACAGTACTTCTGGTATGCCATGAAGGAAGAAAGCGACATTCCACCAAAGTACAGGCTGATGGACAATTTATCCCATGGGTTATCCGGTAATTCCTATTTACACAAGACAAAGTAAGATTACAGCAGTAATAGCGTGACTGAGGTTTCAGAAACAGTGACCAGAAAATTTGAACCTGTCATTCTGTATGCACCATACTCATTCATCAAAGATACAAAACCAGTAAGGTTGGCTACTAACATCAGTTACGACACAAATGGGAGTAAATCTCTGGAATGGCAGCACCAACTGCTCTGTCTTAACACTGAAACATCATCCCATGTCTGCCTGCTCAACAGTAAACCCTTCCCTCTCACAATTTCTCATTAGAAATTAAACTATTTGAAATTGCAGGTTTTCAAGACAATACAGATTATGTGTTTCCCTATAATGTTAATATGTTAATTTAAGCATGTCCATACTTAATCAAGCCACATTTTAACCACTTAAAATTGAATTTAGGAAGAATTTATGCTGTGGTAGGTAGGTTGCTTGTCAGAATCACAGAATCACAGAATTGCAAGGGTTGGAAGGGACCTCGGGAGATCATCTAGTCCAACCCCCCTGCTAAAGCAGGCTCACCTAGAGCATTCTACACAGGACTTCGTCCAGGCGGGTTTTGAATATCTCCAGAGAAGGAGACTCCACAACCTCCCTGGGCAGCCTGTTCCAGTGCTCTGCCACCCTTAGAGTAAAGAAGTTTTTCCTCATATTTAACTGAAACCTCTTATGTTTCAGTTTGCACCCATTGCCCCTAGTCCTGTCGCTGGACACCACTGCAAACAGACTGCTTCCATCCTCGTGGCTTCTGCCCTTAAGATATTTGTACGTGTTGATGAGGTCCCCTCTCAGTCTTCTCTTCTTCAGGCTGAACAAGCCCAGCTCTCTCAGCCTTTCCTGGTAGGGGAGGTGCTCCAGTCCCTTAATCATCCTAGTTGCTCTCCTCTGGACTCTTTCTAGGAGTT